CGTAACATTCTTGTTGTATTCGTTTACTTCATCCTGGAAATCGCAAATATTTAGGAGGGTGCTACTTACTTGGGGTTCATTTAGTATACTCCTTATCCCTGAGCCAGAGTAGGCGTGGCATTCGAACATGGCACGGAACTGGTTACTCGTGGAATATTCCAGTCTGGGACAACTGTCATCTTGTTCTGTGTTGGACAGAGACACGACAACAATTGTGTCAAGATGAAAATATCTCACCAGAAGCATAGACACCTTCAGGTTAAGTTGAAACATGCGGCCACGCCTACCCGATCTCAGGGATTTCGAGTATACCTGTACATTCACTTAAGCAGTCCGGTCAGGTGGGCCGAGTTGGTTCTATACCCCTTCCGCATTAGATTTGATCGTCCGTTGAGACCCAAATCGGAAAGAGCGCCCAGGAAGGCCAAGCGGCAATGAAGGCTGACATCACACTCCGTACGGCTGTTTTAGCATAGACATTGAAACGCCACTGGGTTTGAGTTTCCGGTGAATTTCGACTTGAGGCCTTTTAGCTGGCTATTGCCTTAGCGGCCTTCCGCAAGTCGTTGCTTAAGAGTAGCGCTCCCAGTCACTCAAAAAAGATCATTTCCGTTTACGGCAATCCTATCATTCTTATCTGCGAGGGAAAGACCGGGAGCTGTAGGGAAATCTCCGAATACTTGACGCTACAACGTTATGAGTTTTGACTCTTTTATGTGATTCAGGGGAATGAGTTCAGGGACCATTACGAAAAGAGGAGAGTGAGTATACAGTCTACTTAGCTAGGGATGATGGAGGCGTCATTGAGGTTGGATTTGGCGCGGCGACAGCCCGTACTCCACCAGCTGTTGGAACGGGTAAGCGAGAACAACCTGTGGAAAAAACGAATGGTACGAGCGACAGTCTTATCGCTCGTCGAAAGGAAAAGAAAGCTGCTGGCGGGCCTGAGCCAATCCTCCAAAAAACGCCCCCGCAGCGAAAAAAAACTGTAAGCAACTTCGAGCACGCTGTTCTCCGAGCTCGAGAAGCAATCCTTTCTCTGCTACCAACTCTTAACTTTATGCCCATATCGCTAGACTAATACTGAGCGCTAAACCCTGGGAATTTTGGGCTAGGCAAACAACGCTGCACTGAACATCCAGTCTAGAAGGTGACGTTTGTGTAGGTCTCACTGGGGCCACAGTCAGTGCGTGTATTCAGAGAGGACAGGAAATGTCAAAAGGTTCTACAGCCGGACATAGAGCTTTTTCCTTGGAGCGATTCTTATCCCTTCTTGCATAGCCAGTCAATCCACCCGTTTCTCAAGAAAAATCATGCGTGCTTGTAACCCCACATAAAAGTGTTTACTGGAATCTGACCAAAGAAAAATCAACAATCTCACCTCAACGTCGTACTTCTTGGCCCATTCCAGCACGTCCTTCTTTTGCTCAGCGATTGTCTCGTTCTTGTTGAAGACAATCTTGTAGTACTCCTTCTTGGCTTCCCAGGTCACATTGCGGAGGAATGGCGGCATAAATAATCCCCTAAGGCCTCCGTTGCCGCGACCGCGGTGTTCATCCATAAAATTGGGAGCGCTGAGTACGATGCCGGCAAAGGCAACGAAGTAGATAATAGTGTTCATTCTGAAACTTCTTTTTCAAAGACCTTCAGAATTTAGATTCTCATTTTTTCGAAAGTGATGAATAAGAGAGCGTTTCGAAAAATAGTCAAAAGGGATTCTGGGGCCCAGCTGATGAAGCTGCCCAGAAACAGCAAAATGAGGATGTCCAATGGTCCACACAGCAGCTTTTATAGCGCATTCTCGGATTCTGATCTATGATGATTTCGCCGTGTGAATCACCGCGAGACGGGCGGCATAAATCACAGTACACGTCTCGGGCACTTAAACTAAATTTGGAACTATCGAAATCAATGCTTTATCGCTTTCCTGCGATTAATGCAGTGGTGATGACGTTTGTGAGTAAAAAAGGTAATCATTGGCATCTGTTACTACTGGAAGTCACTCACTTTACAATATGAGGTCAGTTAACGGGGTCGGGTAAAATTCATTTTTTTCGAGCAAAGAAGGGCAGAGGCGGTGTAGCGGCAAGTAACAGTGGTCCTATTGAGCTTGTCCTGGGCCAGGACTCCAAAGCTTCGGATAATCTTGCGTCCAGGCCACCTAGGCTCTCTTTGCTCAAAAAAGCGCAATGAAACAGGATCCGTCTATGTGGGCAGGATCACTGACTCGTACTGGCCCAAGCGTTTCTCTCTCCGGGCAAGCTGAAAGGGACGGGATCCCTCCATGAGGTTAGGAATAACTGACTCGTACAGGCCAGTGCACATTGTATAGACCCTATCTCATCCATTTTGCTGCTATGATTCTGAATGAAGATGAAATGCGCGCCGCGTTCCAGAAAAGGCCTGGACAAGTTTCATTCTTCGTCTTTCATGTCAAGTACCTTAAGAAGAGGGCATAGGGTCCACTAAACAAAAGGGTTCGCGTTTGACAGTTAGGGAGGAAGATCCCTGTAATCAGGTGAAAGATTTTTTTGACTAATGGTGAGGAAGAACGATGACAAGGTTGAAGCCCGATCCATGTATCGTGTGGTTGGAAGTTAGATCCCACAACAGAATCTAGCCATTGCTGCGTTTTTTGGCCTGCTTTCAAGCCTTACGAGGCCTAGTATCAAGGAAAATAGCCACATCATCAGGACCTTAACCACGTTAGAGCCAGCCCTCTGCGCTCGCGTTTGTCGGGTCTCCAGACTTCTAGGCTTCTGGCTTTACTTTTTCAAACGCTAGAGACTCTAGGGAGTGAGCCTCGAGGATCCTATCGATGCGTTTGCAGAAGGGTGGATTTCTTTACATGCTTAAACCCAGAATAGTTCCATGCAGGGTAA